AAAAATAAAAACATCATCGCTTTCTTAAAATCACATAAAGCCATATTATAACATCGACTGAGATAAAGAATAAAATAAAATATTAAAATCACGATGTATTTCGCTGCATTACACGAGCACGCTTCTAGTTTTTATTAACGTATCATTTGATTGATCAACTGAAAACTACCGTTAATTGCAAAAACCAAAAAAAATTATATTTACCAATGATGAAAATAATCAGAAAAATATCAACCAAAATATCTTCTTTTGAAATTAAACAAAAATCCAAAAAAGCCTCTAAATCAACCAAAAAAAATGGAGAAAGTCTTGAAATCATCTAAAAAATATAAAAAATCCTTAAAATCAACCAAAAAACATAGAAATCTCTCGAAATCAACAGATAGTTTAAAAAAAAAATCCTAAATCCACTCCTAGTTGTCTTACTTGCATAAGATGATTTAATCACATTAACGAAAAGGTAATGAACAGCTATTAAACCCTTCACACAATCTTCCACTAATCATACATAATAAAATCTTGGCGTTGTTGATCCCCAACAAAATTAGATTTGATGAATAACAATCAACTGTTAAAACACTCAGTCATTTCGGGTAAATTATAAAGTAGTTGGGATTACGTTTTCTCCAGAGAGGTCACAGGTTCAGGTTCAGGTTCGGGTTCGGGTTCCCAAAAAAGAGTCTTATGAACTTGAGAGATAGTAGCAACAGCTCATGATTTAACTGTTACAGAACCACATAATGGTTAAAGATCACACACATAGTATTGGAATGTTACAATAGCGACAGGGCAAGTTAATGCAAAGCTTTATATCACACAGCCATACAAAAGCATTATAGCAGAACCACACCATATATATGTTTTACCTATTTTCCAACATTTACTTTCATCTTAAAGCCATCATGGGCCAGGGAGCAATCCCAGCAGCTGGCAACGATGGCCGAATGATGGGACCCCGCTTCACTACTGAGAATGCTTCATTGAGTCGTGCAGCTCGGCTCATAAACTGAGATACCTTCTGTACACACAATATATACAACATATCTCTCAGTATCAGATACATGTAAAGAATGTATATAACACAAGATTCTGTGAGCTAAGATGGAATGAATGAAACACAAGACAGTTAATATGGTCATAGATTTGATGAATAAAAACCGCGTGAAACCATGTGATTATTTTATTTTAATATAAATTTATTCAATTCATGTTTTTTTCTCTCCACTGGATTGGTGGACAGGGAGTCTTGGAGACATCAGATTTTTATCCAGATCGGAGGTTGTAATGTGATCATGAGCAAATTCTCCAGAGCCAAAAAAAATGGCAAACTATTCAGCTGCAATAAGCATGCATTCAGTCGCAGGAATAAAATTGTGATCACCATGCCTAAGCAAAAAGGTAAAGCAAGCTTTCAGCATAACAAGGGTTTGTAATAAGTACACTCTCCACTTTTTTTGTACTTGTTTCACAATATCGAATAGAACTGCCTCTCCTTTGGAAGCATTTAGCTTCACTTGATGTTTTATTTCATGCAGTATACTTCATCTGCCCCAAAATGAATGTGAAAAAGGCACACTTTTTAATTACGTAAATGACAATTCTACCCTCTAACAATAGAGGAAGTAATTAATTTCATTAACTGTCAAATGAGGCATATCCATCTCAATCTTGATGGATGAATAATATCCTCACTGTTCACCACCTCATCATGATCATCCAAAAAACTAGATTTCATAGTAAAGTACTAAGATACAGAAATACATTGGCCGACATGAAGATGGCTCATCCCCATGCTAATCAAAAGGATGAGATGAAAAGGCTTTGATTTCAATTACGATGCTTAAAACGAACTCACCCAACCCCCAAACACACATACAAAAGCAAACAGCAAGAGACTACGTTTAGTTTTTACCCAGGAATAAAGAAAAGCAAAACAAGGAAGATAAATTGTAATAAAACAGTTGCATAAACACCTTCTCTTCTACATTTGAAGACTACAACTCCTAATGGTGGAACCCACAAAGCTTTACCATCTTGAATGAAATAGATCTTAATCAAAGTTTATGAAACCACTTACATCTTTCTTAATTATCATGTTGGTATACAACGATGCCAAGTCAAATGTTGTGATTTTCACGAGACAAAAAGTAGCATATAAACAACTATGCATATCCCTATATGGTACATGTATGCTTATGATATCTAAAAGGGAATATCATTCACTTCCGGTTGATTTTTCAAGACAAAACAAGGACCTTCAGTTTTTTGGAGATGGAAACTGCTAACAAACCAAAACCATGGCGGTTTCGTGATTTGAGCCTTTGCAGATTGCGGTTTTTTTTCTATTACAGATTAATATAATCAAATGAATTTAGTATATCACACACAGAGGTTGTGTCCAGGGGATAGGATGTAGCCAGACCTTGCCTCTACCCCAATGGGGAGAAAGGTTGTTTCCATTAAAACCTTTCGACTTGTATAACAAAAACAAAAATACAAGGAGACAGGTGAAAAAAGTACATAAAACTATATGCAACAACGCAACAGGTACAGTGAACTAAAAGCAAAGCAAGAACACGGGAGGACATAAGATAAAACAAACAGGGAATCACAAAGTAGAATGCAGTCAACTACTAGACCATGAAGAAAACAAAGATCGACATACAGTTAAATAAGACGTGAAAATTAGAAAAATGAAAACAAGTTTGTATCTAACATGAGGCTCTTGTTGGAACAAACAGAGAAGAAGCTTAAACAATTACTCAGCCACTCGTGTTATTTAGTTGAATCAAACACATGCCTTATATAGGAAGTACAACCTAATCTGAAGAGGCAAAAAGATAAATACGTTGGATAACAAACTCACAACCTATCTAACTAAAAATTAGGAAACCAACCGAAGAATTTACTCTCCTTATTTGACTATACCAGACCTAGAAAAACTGCAAATTGAATTAATCTTCCAACACTCCCCCTTCATTCGAATTTGCACAACCCAAGCTCTCCACATAACTCTTCATGCTTCTTCCTTGTCGAGCTCTTAGTAAACAGATCTGCTGTTTGCTGATCTGTCGTACACCCTTACAACTGAACTTCCCCTTCGCTTAGCAACTCATGAATAAAATGATGTTTGATTTCTATATGCTTTGTTCTGCTATGAAAGACTGGATTTCTGGACAGCATAATTGCAGACTTGTTATCATAGTATAGAACAGTAGCACTATTCTGCTCTTGATTCAAATCTCACAGCATTCTTCTCAGCCACACCGCCTGACAAGCAATAGCAGCCGTTACAGTCACATATTCAACTTCTATAGATGAAAGGGCAACGGTAGCTTTTTTTTTCGAACTCCATGAAACAACACTTGACCCAAGAAAAAAACAGTTCCCAGTGGTGCTCCTAGCATCAACGGCACCTCCACAGTCACTGTCACTGCTACCTTTTAAGCTGAATAGGCTAGATCTTTTATACCAAATACCCAACTCTTTTGATCCAGCCAAGTACCTCAAGACCCTCTTTGCAGCACCAAGGTGATGCTTGGTAGGTTGATGCATAAACCAAGAAAGAACACCAACTGTGAAGCTGATGTCAGGCCTCGAATGAGTCATGTAAAGCAGTCATCCAATCAGACTCTGATATTGCCCACCATCAGCATGCTCGGTTCCATCTTCATATTGTAGTTTCTCGTTGACATTCATTGGTGGGGCTTCCTTTTTACACCATGACATGTTGTACATCTTCAAAGTGTCTTCTATATACCTTTTTTGAGACAGAAATATTCCTTCACTTGTTAGTATCACTTCCATTCCTAAGAAGTAATGCAGCTCACCCAAATCTGTCATCTCAAACTTCGACTTCATAGAGCTCTTGAATCCAGAAATTAGCTGACTTGAAGAACTGGTATAAATCATGTCATCAACATAAAGGCTCACTATTAAAAGATCATCCGCACCTTGTTTCTTAACATACAAGGTTGGCTCATTTACGCTCCTTTTAAATCCATCATTTAAAAAAAACTCATCAATCTTGCTATACCAAGCTCTTGGAGCTTGTTTAAGACCGTACAATGATTTTTTCAATCGAAGAACTTTGCTTAGCTTGCTTGGGTCTTCGAAACCCAGGGGCTGACTTACATACACTTCATCGTGTAGATCGCCATTAAAAAAGGCTGATTTGACATCAAATTGATACACCCTCCACTGTTTGTGTGCAGCTAAGGCCAGAATGATACAAATCGTCTCAAAGCGTGCTACCGATGAGAACGTTTCTTCATAATCAATGCCGTGTTTTTGGGTGTATGCTCTTGCTACTAATCTCGCATTGTGCTTATGAATGCTTCCATCAGGCATGAACTTGGTTTTGAAGATCCATTTCAAACCAATGGTATTTTTGCCCTTGGGAAGATCCGTGAATTCCCAAGTCTGGTTATGTTGGATGGACTTCAGCTCCTCTTTCATCGCTTGAATCCATTCTTGTCTTTCCTTTGCTTCTACCGTTGTTGGATTTCCAGCAAACAACACCATGTTGGTGCCATCCTCCCCCTCAATGTCAAATCTCCGTCGAGGAATGTGACCACGTTTACTTTGCGCAGCTGTGACTCAGCATTTGCAGCTGATCTACTGATATCAGATTCTTCGGATGGAGAGCTGTACTGAGGATCTTAAGGCGGTGTAGCCACTGCCACTTGCAGATCTACTTGGTGTCACATTCTGGAAGCTATTTTCATTTGCTCTTTCAGTTTCGTCTTCACCATCTTCAGTTATTGCTCTATGATCTTTCATCATCACTCTTCCATCTCCAGGCTGCCCGTTCACCAAACACCACGTTTCTGCTAACACTTGAGCATTGTCTTACAAGATCAAAAAGACGGTAAGCTTTAGAGTTAGAGCAATAACCCAAAAATATATATTTTTGTGACTTATCTTCCATCTTGTGTTTATCTCCTATTTTCAAGTCATAACACACACTTCCACTTACCGATGGCTTATTACCATATCATACTTCATATGGTGTTTGATTTAGAACGTCCTTAGTAGGAGACAGATTGAGAAGGTAAATTGTTGTTGCCACACCTTCTGCCCAAAAAAAATTTGGAAGACCATTTGACTTCATCAATGATCTTGCCATCTCTACCACAGTCCGGGTTCTTCCTTTTTGCTACCTCCTTCTGCTCCAGAGTATAAGGGGCTGTTAGTTCCCGTTTTATGCCTTGTTCTTCACAAAAGGTAATGAATTCACTTGATGTAAATTCACCACCTCGATCTGTCCTCAACACCATCAAGAATTTTCTACTTTGTCTTTCTGATAAAGCTTTGAACTTCTTGAAATATTCTAATATCTCGGACTTTAATTTCAAGAAATAAACCCAACTCATCCGGCTGAAATCATCGGTAAATAACAAGAAATACCTACTATCAGTCATGTACCAAGATCACCCGCTAGGTACCAAACGTCACTCGTATGCAAACCTTCAGTCGTGTACACCATGAACAAGTAATCCTCTTCTTTTTCTTCTACTGCAAAATTGGCTTTTTCAGGTTTAGACCAACAGATCAGATCTTCTCACTGTGTCCATACTTCTTACAATGAGAGCACTGGACCATAGAGTTACGACCTCTTCCCCTTCCTCAAAAACTGCCATGACCACGTCCTCTTCCTCTGAAATCAGAGGATTCGCCTTCATCTTTGATTTGAAATGCCCTTTCTTCAACTTTCTCTATTGATCTGTTGATCCTCACTTCATGAGCTTGCAGAGAGCCCATTAGTTCATCAAAGGAGAACGTTGACAGATCTTTTGATTCCTTAATTGCAGCCACGACATGAACAAACTTAGGGGATAGACTTCTCAAAACTTTAGGAACTATAGTTTCGTCAGCAATTACTTCTCCATAGGTCCTCATCTAACTTACTAGAGAAGAAATATGTGCCAAGTACTATTGAACAGATTCATTTCCTTTCATACCGGCGGTTTCAAACTCACAACAAAAGGATTGAAGCTTCACAGTAATTACTTTTGA